TATTTTCTCTGATTCATTTGGATAGTTTCATTTGCTGTGTCTTCAAGTATACTGTTCTTTTCTTCTGAGATGTCTAGTCTGGGGTTAATCTCATCCAGCATATTTTTTCAACTCAGACATTGTACTTTTCATCTCTAAGAGGTCATTTTGAGTCCTTTTAATTTCTTCATTGTCTCTGCTTAACTTTTTTTTTCTTTTGCACCAGGGTCTTACTCTGTTGCCCATGCTAAAGTGCAGTGGCATAGCTGGGTTCGGTGGCTCAGCGTATAATCCCGCGCCTTTGGGAGGCTGAGGTGAGTGGATTGCCTGAGCCCGAGGGTTCGAGACCCGCCTGGGCAGCGAGACCTCATCTCTACAATAAATCAAAAATGAGCCAGGCGTGGTAGCGCACGCCTGTAATTCCTGCTACTCGGAAGGCTGAGGCGGAAGGATCCCCGCAGACCAGCAGGTCGAGGCTGCAGTGGCCGGGAGCGGCCACTGCACTCCAGTCTGGCAGACAGAATGAGACTCCAACTCAAAAAAAAAAAAGTGCAGTGGCATGGTCATGGCTCACTGCAGCCTCCACCTCCTGGCTCAGGCACTCCTTCTGCCTTAACCTCCTGAGTAGCTGGGACTATAGGCATGCGCCACCATGCCTGGCTAAGTTTTTGATTTATTGTAGAGACAAAGTCTTGCTCTGCTGCCTAGGCTGGTCTCGAACTCCTGGGCTCAAGCGTTCCTTCAGCTTTGGCTTCCAAAAGTGCTGGGATTACAGGCATGAGCTGTCTCAGCTTAATTTTTTGAACACATGGAAATCAGTTCTGTCATCTTTGTAAAAGCAATTTTGTTTGATTGCTTTTTCTTTTAGTCATGGGTTGTATTTTCTGAATTCTTTAGAAGCCTGGTAAATTTTTTTTGAGTTGGAGTCTCACTGTCACCCAGACTGGAGTACAGTGGCATGCTCCCGGTCACCACAGCCTCGACCTGCTGGGCTCCGGTGATCCTTCCGCCTCAGCGTACCAAGTAGCTGGAACTACAGGCACGCGCTACCATGCCTGGCTAATTTTTGATTTATTGTAGAGGTGAGGTCTCGCCAAGCTGCCCGAGTGGGTCTCGAACCCAAGGGCTCAGGCAATCCACTCGCCTCGGCCTTCCAAAGTGCTGGGATTACAGGTTGAGCCACTGAAAGAAGTCTGGTAATTTTGTATTGGATGCCTGACATTGTGAATTTTACCTAGTTAGGGGCTAACTATTTTTGTCTTCCAAAAATATTTTTGAACTTTGTTCTGTGATGCAGTTTAGTTACTTAGAAACGACTTACTCATTTGAATCTTGTTTTTTAAGCTGTAAGGCAGAGTCAGAGCTGTGTTTAGTCTAGACTAGAGCTAACTACTATTTGTATTGAGGCAAGATGCTTTGTATACTCTACCTAATCCTCTGTAAATTATGAGCTTTCCTACTACTTCAGCCTTGTGAGAGCTGTCACTGCTCCCTTAAAGCCTTCAGATGCTTTCCCTGACTTAGGTAGTCTCACAGTCATGTGTTGAACAGTTCTCTGCTGAATCCTTGAGACCATCCCCAGATCTCCACAGTTCTCTTTCTGTGCAGTTAGCTAACTCTTCTGGTACTTGTCCCCTGAATACTGGCTGCCTTGGTTCCATCTGGGATCTCTCTTTATGCCACGACTTGAAATGTTCCTTGAGGCAGGGAGCAGGGACAGTCCTGGGACTCACCTTGTTCGTTTCCTGTCTCTCAGGGTTCACTGTCCTTCCATGTCTTGGGAATTACTGTTATTGTTGTTTGGAGTGGGGTGGATCTGATGTCTGTTACTCCATCTTGGCTGGAACTAGAAGTCCCAACAAGTGTTTGTTGAGGCATGCTTTGTGTTAGGTACAGTTCTTGGCACCCAGGATGCAAAACAAAAGACCCAGCCATCAGGCCGCTGATGTTCTGGCAAACCAGACAGGGTGGGCAGTAAGTCCAAGTACTGCCACTGGAAGGCTCCTCAACCTTGGGTGAGCCATGTCACCTGTTTGAGCCTTAGGTCCCTGACTCTTCATAATAACTGATGTTTACTGAGAAAATTACCATCGTTTGCTCATTACTTTGTTGAATTGTTAGCAGGGGACCATCCTATTCAGACACTTTGCCTCAGCCTCCCAAGTAGCTGAGACTTCAGGCACATACTACCACACCCAGCTAATTTTTTGATTTTTTTGATAGACACAAGGTCTCACTGAGTTGCCTAGGCTCATCTCAAACTCCTGGGCTCAAGCAATCCTCCTGCCTCAGTGTCCCAATGTGCTAGGATTATAGGCGTGGACCACCATGCCTGGCCCCTAGAAAATCTTTTAAAAAGAGATGATACTAGTGCCACTTGATGTTGTTTGAATTTTATTTTATTTATTTTTGCATTATAAAGGCTTAAAAGGTTCCTTACACTTCAGAATTTCTATCCACATTTAGTGCATTGACTTCTTGCATTAGAAAGGTCAGCTTGGCCAGCCACGGTGGCTCAAGCCTGTAATTCCAGCACTTTGGAGAGCCAAGGTGAGAGGATTGCCTGAGCTCAGGGGTTCGAGACCAGCCTGGGCAACTTGGTGAGACCTCATCTCTACAATATATCAAAAACTTATTTGTGCGTGGTAGTGCATGCCTGTGGTTCCAGCTATTTGGAAGGCTGAGGAGGAAGGATTGCCTGAGCCCAGAAGGCTGATGTTGGGGTGACTGTGAGTGTGCCACTACACTCTAGCCTGGGCAACGGAATGAGACTCTGACCTACCCCCCCCTGAAAAAAGAAAGGTCATGCTTTGCACTTGTACCAACTGTTCATATCTGCTTCCTAAGAAAAATGAAACTCAAACCTCAGAGGACAGAGAGGAGGGATGTAGAGATTTAAAACTACTGAGAGTGAAAGTGTCAATTAGTGTGATCTTTTTGGAAAACCATTTGGCAGAATCAAATTAGAGCCCATATATGCAATCTGTGCTCTTGACTTTGTAGTTTCTTTCCTAGAAATCAGTGAGTCTCAAGGAAATAATCCAAAATATGAAGCATTGTGTATTACTGTGGTGAGTGTGGCATTATATGAAAACGGAGAATTAGAAACATCATAAATGTCCAGCAAAAGAGAGCGAACTAATAGTATGGTCCTCCTGCTGGAATCTTATGTAGCTATCCTACAGAAGTTGGGTTTGTGAAGAGTTACCATTGCAACGGCAAGTGACAGCAGCAGAATACAAAATCACATACACAGGATGGACTAGGTACAGTGGCCTAACTCCTGTAATCCCAGCATTTTGCAAGGCCAACGTAGGAGGATCGCTTGAGGGCAGGAGTTTGAGACCAGCCTGGGCTTGTCTCTACAAAATTATTACCAGAGCCTGTCTCTACAAAAAAATTTACAAAAATTAGCCTGTTGTGGTGGTGTGTATCTATAGTCCCAGCTACTAGGGAGCCTCAGGTGGGAGGACTGCTTTTGATCCCAGGAGTTTGAACCCAGTGAGTTATGATTGCATTACTGTACTCCAGCCTGGATGACAGAGGGCACCCCTGTCTAAAATAAATTAAAACAAAATAAACAGGCCATGGAGGACAATAATTCGAGGGAAATATGCCCAACCTGCAGTCGTATTTTTCCCAAGGTCATTTTCCCTGCTTCTATACTTGCTCATTGTTTCCAGTTTTCCTATGAGGGATGTGTATTACTTTCATAGTTAATACATTAAAGGAAAAAAATCCCAATATTCTTACAATTTTATGGAAGGAATGGTCAATGTTTAAAGCATCGGACCATTTTAAAGAAAAGGATTGGATGTAATTTAAGTTGCAACAAGATGGGTTGTTTCCCCCACATATACAAAGTGTTCCAAACGGTCTGTTATACTTTGTATTTGGAGCATGAGGAAATAAAGTAATGTTAACACAGAAATTGCCGTGCACGGAGGCTTCTCCAAAGGGCCTGGCTCATCCGAGAAGTGGAGTGATCTGTCCTGGGTTACATCGCCATGAGGGGCAGAGTCAGGGTCTCCCGAAGAAGCCAGAGCTTCTTCAGTGGTGACTGGCTCACATGTGGCTGTTATTGATCTGCAGTTTCCAGGGGAGGCGAGAGAGGATGTAGTGGGATGAAGAGCAGGGCCCAGCTGTGCCTGGCCTTGACGTAACTGCACCCACCCGGGCCCAGGACACGCGCCTGTGCCCCTCACTCCTCCAGAGGAGTCAACTGAGGTTTAGAGAGGACGACGGCCTTGCCAGGATCCCCAGCTTGCTGAGTCTAACCCTGTGGCCCCGGTGATTGTTGGTGCTGGGGCCGAGGCCCTTTTACTCAAAGAGGAGGCTGCCTCCACTGTAGGGAGTAGTCTAGGCCTTGGAGTCCATTCTGTGAGTCGGTTTGAGAAGGGCCGGTTTCACATAGTGTCTCTTAGTGAGTTCGCAGGTCATTCCTTGTCAGCAGATGCTACCTGACAGTGTGGTGAGAATCTAGGATGACACAGGTTTATAATGGTAATAGAAGGAACACTGCAATTTGGCAGTGAAAATCAAATTTGTATGTCTATCAGCCTTGCGATTCCATTTCTGGAGCTCTGTCCTAAGATATACTTGTATAGGTGGCCAGGGAGAGAGATGCTTGGGACAGTCATTGTGCCAAGGCTTCAGGAGCCTGATCTTTGGTCAGCAAAGAAGGGGTGCAGTCAGCAGCGGAGGAGTGTGTCTTCCCATGAGGACTCTGGAGTATCTGTTGCACAGGGTGTGGTGGAATCTGGATAGCAACATGGAATGCTTCACCCAGCACAGTACCCTAGAGAATATAGAGGTGTGGGGGATGTAGGGATTCCACTCTTTACTCTTGCTACTTCTAGAATGTTTGAACTTTTTGTAGCGATTTTTAGCAAGCATGGCTATGTTTCTGTATCACTTCCATCATCCTGCAAACAGTAAAATGCACTGTGCGTGTTTCCCAGAAGTACCCGATAGCAGTCGGTGGGATATAGCGCTTAGCGCACTTTCTGATTCTGTTTCAGGACAACGTGCTGAACATCATTAATCAGATCATGGATGAGTGCATCCCCCAGGACCGTGCTCCACGGGATTTTTGCGTCAAGTTCCCTGAGGAGATCCGACATGACAACCTGGCTGGCCAGCTGTGGTTTGGTGCTGAGGTAGTGGGTGGCTGCCTGGGTCCCACAGTGTTGACATTGGGGGATATTCAGCCATTTCTCTGTGAACTTCATCCATGGGCACTGTGGGTCCAGGGACCTGGTATCTCCATCCACTTCCAGTTTACATGGTGTGAGCTGAGCCTATCAGACCATATGCCCTCCTGGAGAGTCTGGGAAGGTTATGAACCTGTCCCCCAAAACTGCATATGCAGATAAAGTTTCCCATATGATTTTTTTTTTTTTTTGAGTTGGAGTCTCACTCTGTCACCCAGACTGGAGTGCAGTGACACGCTCCTGGCTACCGCGGCCTCGACCTACTGGGCTCAGGCGATCCTCCCGCCTCAGTCTTCCAAGTAGCCAAAACTACAGACACGTCCTATGGCACCTGGCTAATTTTTTATTTATTGTAGAGATGAGGTCTTCCCAAGTTGCCTAGGTGGGTCTCAAACCCACGGGCTAAAGCAATCCACTCGCCTCTGCCTCCCAAAGTGCTGGAATTACAGGCTGAGCCACCGAGCCCGGCCAATCCCGTGTGATTTTTATGAGGTTCTCAGACCCCCAGACATCCAAGATCTCCATGCGGTTCTTAATAGCAATAATACCTATATCAAGAACGATGATTTCCCTCACCCCCTACAGCAAGGGCAGCAGAGGCCAGAGGAGCTGTACTGGGGCCTCACAAGTGCCAGGTCTCACAATAGCCCATCAAATCTTTATTTTCATCTTCCAACAAGGAACCTGAGGCACAGAGAGAAGGGTGGCCCACCCCCTTCAAGGAGGTGGGACCAACCCCCCCTGCACTGTGTAGACATTGCAGACTCCTCCCCTTGGCTGTGCTTCTAGTGTCCATGGCCCCCTCTGTGTGCTGTCCCTCTCCTCCCTGCCTCACCTCTCAGTGGACCCCTGGAATGCCCAGATCCTCATCTGACACTACCTGGCCCTTGTGCCCCTCACCTCCCCTGTTTTACCCTGTCCCTGCATGCGCCACGCCCTACTCCACTCCTTTGGACTGTCTGACTGGAGCATCCTCTGCTGAGGTTCTGGTGCTTGTCTCTCCTCCTTGGGTAGGTTATCCCTTCTCTTCAACCTCAGTTTTCACCTCTGTGAAGTGGGTCCTGGGACAAAGGGCAGCGGTGTGGAGTCGTGAGATGGAGCAGGTCCCACGCCCAGCTGGCCTGGTGGGGACATGTGTGCACATGGTGCCATTTTCTCTTTTGCGGTCCTCGTGCCTGCAAGCCCAAGCTCCCCTCCAGGGTGGGCCTGGGAAATCAGCGACTCTCTCACCTTGTCACCTGGGAAATGGCTTCTGATCCTGCTTCACAAGGTTATCACTGATGAGGACTGGCTGGTTGGCTGGTTCTACCCTGAACTGGTGAGGCCTGGCCTGTGCTCAAGCATCCACATGACAGTAAACCCTCAGGGGGCCTGATGTGTCCCCTCGTCCTGAGAGCAGTTTTGTGACATCCCAAGTTACTGAGCACATGCAGGGTAACTGTCTCCCAGGGCCCAGGCAGATGTGGGTGGATTTGTGGGTACACAAGGGCCCTGCTTACCTACCCCGGAGCCCAAGGCTCCCGCGCTGATGGTCTCGGATCATGTTTCTCTGCGTCTGAGTGTGTTGACAGGAGGTGCCTGTAACTCCTGAGAAAGCTCAGTGTCCTCAGGGAGCCTGGGTCAGCCCAGCAGCCTCATGCCTGGGAGCAGAGCCCTGAATGTGGCATCTGAGAGCTCCTAACTCCCTGACCATCATCCCTGTGGGTTGGGTGAGCAGGGACAGGAATCACATGACCAAGGACCCCTGCACAGAGCCCCCAGACCTAAGGGCCACACGCCCATCTTCCACTCCCTGCTTGCTCTTGGGGCCATGTGAGGACCACATTGGTCACAGTGAGAGACATTTGTCACTGCTGTCATGATTGCTCTGAATTAAGAAAAACCTCTTTGAGGGGACCAGGAGCAGGTATGGGTCCTTGCTCTAGAGTGAGACTATGGGAACTGAAACCTCGGGCCGTGGCAGAGCTGGGTTCCCCAGGACAGGGTAACACCTGGCAACTCTGCCGTCCATTCCAGGGCCTCTCTCTGACCATGTCCCCCACCCACAGTGCCTGGCCGCTGGCTCCATCATCATGAACCGTGAGCTAGAGAGCATGGCCATGCGGCCTCTAGCCAAGGAGCTGACCCACAGCCTGGAGGATGTACGGGGCGCCCTCCGCGACCAGGCACTGCGGGACCTCAACACCTACACGGAGAAGATGAGGGAGGCGCTGAGGCACTTCGATGTCCTGTTTGCGGAGTTCGAACTGAGGTGACCGAGGGCCGCCCGTGAGTGCCACGGGTTTGGGGGCCACAGCCTTGGCTTTGTGAGTGGGAGGAGGGTGGCGCCAGCTCTCTGGGGCCCACCCTTATATTTTAAGCTAGGAAATTCTGCAGAGGGAGGAGCTGAGTGGGTTCAGGGCTGTCTGTTGAATTCACCCCTGGGGGGCACAGTATAGGGTGGGGTGGGGGGGCAGACCTTTCCAGGAAAGGGAAATAAGCAGAGAGGACATAAGTGGGGTCCAGCAAGTTCTGGCTGCCAGGGACCTCTAGGGGAAAGGACTGTGGTGAGGCCCAAGGGACCAGGTGTGCTATGATGCAGCCACAGACGTGAGGATGCTCAAAGTAGGTAAGAAAAGGGGACAAAACTGGGTCTGTGGTGGTTTCAATTCATGAAGGCTGTTCATCTTGTAATTTACCTGCCTCTAGAAGAAGCTTAGCCAGCACACTAAAGTCAGTCCTATCCAGGAAGGAAGCGTATGGAGAATTGAGTTTTATTTTCTACTATCCTCCCAGATTTTCTAAATAAGCTTTCATTGGAATAAATTAGAGTGATTGATTTAGAAGGAAAAAAAGTTCTAATCTGAGGAATGGTTGGACAAGGTATCACTCTTTTACAGCCACTCGGCAAACCAGGGCTGACCTCTGGCCTGCTGGGGTCCACACAACCTGACCCTGCCCATGGGAGGGCTCAAGCATTCATTCATTCATCCATCCATCCATCCACTCATTCTTTCACTTGCTTGCCTGATAAAGCTGGTGCCCAGGTGACGGGCACATATGTGGGCAGCAACATATCCAGGATGGTCAGGGCTGACAGGCAGGGCTAGGGCCAGAGGAGGCCCTGGAGGAGCTGTCCCTGGAGTGCTGCTGTGAAGCTGAAGATGTGTATTTTGAGTGGCTGGAACAGGGTGGTGTTGCAGCCTGAACTGGAGGTGCAGCCTCCAGTTTTGGAGGGCTTGGGATGGCCCCAGGGCCGCTGACGTACCCCCTGTGTTGCAGCTACGTCTCGGCCATGGTGCCCGTGAAGTCCCCCAGGGAGTACTACGTGCAGCAGGAGGTCATTGTGCTGTTCTGCGAGACGGTGGAGAGGTGAGGCCAGGCTGGGTGGGCGTTGGGGTGGTCCGGAGAGTCCCTGCCCCTCCCTGTTCTGCTCAGGCCTGGGACAGAGGGCGGCCCTGGGAACACACCTTGTCGAGGGGCTGCACCAGATGAAAAGGCACCGGCCCACATCTTCCTGCACCACATCTGGCTTCTACTCGTAGGTGGGCAGAGGGGAGAGACCACCTATCCTCACCCCTGCCAGTGCCGTTTCTCGTTCCCATTGGTCCCTTCTCTCTGGGCCCAAAGGGGAGACGCCGCAGGTAAAGTCACATGTCAGATGACAGAAACTAGACGTTCCGCCATGCCGGGTTGACACCCATACCTTGTCACCTTCCTCATCTCTTTCTTTTTCACCTCCTTGCCCCTCGCGTCTCCGCTTCTCCCCACCTGGTTGCTTACCCTCTTACTCCCCATCTCATCACGCGTCACTCTTCACCTCCTCATGCCTCACCTTTTTATTCCGCCTTTCCTCGTGGCTTCACTTTTCATTTCACTTCTCCCTCCTCACCGCCTCACTCCTCATCTCCTGACCTCGTCACTCCTGACCTCTGGGCTCTCCACTCCTCGTCTCTTCACGCCCTTCACCTCGCTCCATCCCTCCTCACTCCTCCCCTCCCGCCCCCCTTCACTGTGCGTCCCCCTCGCCCTCCATCTCTCTGTGCTTCACCCCCCACTCCTCACCTCCGCGCTCCTCACACTTCATCTCCCCGTCTCCTCACCTCTTCAGTCCTCACCTTATTTCTCACTGCTCGCACCCTCGTTCCTCACTTCCCATCACCTCTTCACTAGTCGCTCCTCAGCTCTTTGCTCTTCGCTTTCGTAGCCCTCAGCTCTCACCCCTCACCTCCTTGCCCCTCCCTTCCTCACCCCCGTCCTCCACTTCCTCACTCCTCACCTCCTCACTGCTTCCTTCCTCTCTCCTCGCTCCTCACCTTCTCCCCTCACTTCCTCGCTCCTCATCCCTCACCTCTCACTCCTTCCTCCCCACCTCTTCACCTCATCCCCCTCCTCACTTCTCACCTTCTCACTTCACTCCTTACCTCCTCCTCACCTCACCTTCTTACTCCTCACCTCCTCACCTCACCTTTCTTTCTTTCTTTTTTTTTTTGAGTGGGAGTCTCACTCCGTGGCCCAGACTGGAGGGCAGCGGCCGCCCCCGGCCACTGCAGCCTCGACCCGCCGGGCTCCGGCGAGCCTCCCGCCTCAGCCTTCCGAGTAGCCGGAACTACAGGCGCAGGCTACCATGCCCTGCTAGTTTTTGATTTACTGTAGAGACGCGGTCTCGCCAAGCTGCCTGGGGCCGGCCTTGAACCCGCAGGCTCAGGCAATCCACTCGCCTGGGCCTCCCAGAGTGCTGGGGTTACAGGCGGAGCCACTGAGCCTGGCCTCGCCTTTCCTGTTCATGACCTTCTCATTCCTTACTCACCTCACTGCCCTCCTCTCCCCCTCACCTCCTAACGCCTCCCCTCCCCTCACCGCATCACTCCTGTCACTCCACACCTTCCCATTCGCCACTGACCTCGTGACCCTTCTCGTTCTCTTACCTTGCCTTCTCACTCCTCACTTCACCTGCTTGCCCCTCACTCCGTAGTCCCCACTGTCTCATCTCCTCACTCCTCACCCTCTCACCCTCGCCTCCTTACTTCTTCGCTCTTCACCCCCTCACACCTCACCTACACACGCCTCACTGCTTCTCCTCCTCACTTTCCCACACCAGGATTGGGTTTTTGGTTCATTGAGCAAGTTTTGGGGATCAGCCATCAGTATTATGGACAGGCCTTGTGTGGTCATTTTCAGTCAGATTTTCTAAATGAACTTAAAAAATTTTTTTTTATTTTAAAGATGTGGGGTCCATGGCCGGGCTCTGTGGCTCAGCCTATAATCCCAGCACTTTGGGAGTCCGAGGTGAGTGGGTTGCCTGAGCTAAGGGGTTCGAGACCAGCCCGGGCAACTTGGCGAGACTTCTTCTCTGTAATAAATACAAAATTAGCCGGGCGTGGTAACGTGCGCCTATAGTTCCAGCTACTCGAAAGGCTGAGGCGGAAGGATCACTGGTGCCCGTCAGGTTGACGCTGGGTAGCCATGAGTGTGCCACTGCATTCTAGCCTGGGTGACAGAGTGAGACTCCAACACACACACACACACACACACACACACACAAAGGTGTGGGGTACGATTCAGGGTTAGGTATAAAAATATGTAATTGGTCATTGTGCAGGTAGAGTTTGGACCTCACTTTGGTCCCCATGTCACCTGGTTTGAGATCAGGTACCTTGTTGAAGTGTGCCCCCCTGCTCCCTCCCCTGGCAGTTTCCCACTACTGCCAATCCCTTTTTTACAGTATTCTGAATGGGCTTTGAACCTAAGATTTAAGCTAGAGTATTTCTCTGTTGTAACTATGCTGGTAGGTAAGTTTTGAAATTGACTAATATCACATCATGTGTTTTTATTTTTAAGAGATAGATTACTCATTGTTTATGCTTTGAGAGCTATTTCAAATTGGCAGAAAATAACATGACAGAAAATGCTTTATTTTTGAAAAGGCATGGTGCTAGCAAGTGTAGAAAAAGCCTAGGGAGTGGAAATAAACCCTCTTTCTCAGGGAAGTGTTACGTTGTTTAGAGCAATATTTTTGTTGCATGTTTATCCTCAGCACTTGAGTTGTTTCAGTGTCCTGGTTAAGCAGAGCCGTTGACTGGATTATCTTTGTCATATTGTTGGTTGGACGTCCTAGCTATCCTCACACATTTTACCCACTCACTGTTCTGGGACAGTGGTAGGGCTGGCAGACAGAAAGATAGGAAGGTTGCACTCAAGCCACCTCTGCCCAGGGCCACCCAGGGAAAGAGCCTGGCATTTTTCTCCAGCATCGGTCCTCGGCATGTGTAAAGGCTAAGGGTGGCATGGCACCCTCCTGACGTGTCCGCTAAGCGTGGCAGCAGGCAAGAGTTGAGCAGGCTTTCCCTCCCTGGCCCAGAGCTAACACGCGGTTGTGGGTGGGCCCGCCGTCACC